TGCCTTCCCCAGTCCGCGCGCAAAGCATGTGAGTCGGGGAAGGCCTGGAGAGAGCCCCCCCACCTTCCCCGGCCTGCTTCTGTCAGGCAGAAGCCCAGAGATCCTCCCCCCCCTTTCCCTTCACCCCGCTTAGAGGTGAAGGGAAGGGAGATGTCAGGGGGTGCAGCATATGCAAATGTTATGCTAATGAGTTGTGCTAATGAGCTCCTGCACCTTTTTGTATGAAATGACCCCTGGTAAGGAACAGTTCAGGATAATTTTATAAAGTAAACAGGATTGTAGTTGATTCCACTGATTATTTTATGTTTTTCTCCCCCTGCTTACTGTGTTGTTTTCTACTTTTGAAATGTCGTGGGGGGGGGGAGGTTGCATTGTTTATGACATACCACACCTGATACTTTTTACTGTCATTTTTGTAATCCTAGTTCTATTGAAGGGTTTATTGGCTGTCTCAGGCTATCGGACTGCATTGTTTGCAGATGTTATCAGATGGTTATTAGGTGTCTCATGCAATTGGATTGCATCATGTTGCACAGCATAATCCACCTGGAGTCTGGTTGAGAAAGGGGGGCTATGAAGCACCTGGAATATTGTGTGTGCAGTTCTGGAGGCCTCACTTCAAAAAGGATGTGGACAGAATGGAGCAGGTGCGGAGGGGAGCGACGAGGATGATCGGGGTGTGTGTGGCTGGAGTCCAAGAAGCCTTACGAGGAAAGGCCGAGGGGCTTGGGAAGGTTCAGTCTGGAGGAGGTGGTTGAGGGGGAACACGATTGCTCTCTTCAAGTATTTGAAGGGCTGCCACTTAGAGGAGGGCAGGGAGCTCCTCCTGTTGGCAGCAGAGGACTCGCGAGAATGGGTTTTAATTAAGGGCGGGAAGGTAAAGGCTGGATATCATGGAAAACCTTTTTAGAGTTGCGCAACAGTGGGATCGGCTGCCTAGGGAAGGTGGTGAGCTCCCCCTCACTGGCGGTCTTTGACATACATCAATGGAACTCACAGGTGAGAAAACCTGTCGATGGTCATCATTATCCTGGGCAGAACCTCTGTCTGCAGAGACAGTCTACCTCTATGGGCCAAAAGCTGGGAGACTCCAGAAGCAGGAGGGGCCGTTGCGGCTTCCAAGCCTGGTTTGGGTTTTCCAAGATGTCCAGATGGCAGCTGGGGATGGTTGCCGCTTTCGCCAAAGCCCTGAGCTGTGACTCAAGAGGCCTCTGCCCCGAACTCCTCCGGCAAGGGTGGTGCTGTCGGCCTCCCTCGCAGGGCTGTCCCAAGGGTCGCTTTGAGAAGGCATGGGGGGCGTCCACGCCAGAGAGGGAGGGGAACAGGCTCCGATGCTGGAAGTTTCACTGGCAGGACCTTCCCTGAGGAACCTCAACCGGACACCGCCTACTGTCACTGACCGGCCCACCCCCGGGTCCCTCGGCTTTCCCACCCCACCCCCCAAAGTAAAGGCCCGTCTCTGCATTCCGTTCTCTTGTGGGGGGGGGCACCAACTACCAGGTGAGGCCTGAAGTCCTCTTGGAATTGCAGCTGATCGCCAGACTCCAGAGATCCCTTCCCCTGGAGGAAATGGCTGCCTGGGAGGGTGGAGTCTAGGGCGTTAAGTCACCTCTGAAGCCCCTCCCCTCCTTTTCCAGGCTGTTCCCCCCAATCTCCAGCTGGCGGCCCCACTCCCAGCCCCTGACTGACACAGGGAGCCTTCCACACGGGCTCACGGGTCACACGGCATCCTGGGAGGAGATGTTGTTCCGCAGCGCTATGGAATCCAGGGCTTCAAAAACCCCGACATCCCCCCAAGACCAGTGGCTTAAGCAGCGCAGGCTTCTCTTTGAAAAACGGAGTGCCACCGGCAGAGGGTCTGAGGTCCAGTGGCTGAGCACCTCACGGGCGGGCAGGCAGCGAGCGTGGCACAGTGGGCGGCGTAACGGGCACAGAGTATCTGAAGAAGGGAGCCACGTGACTCCGAGAGCGCCTCCCCTGCCACAGACCTGGTTTGTCTCTAAGGTGCTGCTGGACTCCTTGCTCCTGCCGCAGACTAATCTGGCTACCCATCTTGACGTTACACATTTAATACTTTTAAAACAGTAAAATCAGTTTAGGTCTGACAGAAAAGCAAACATTGCATATATTTCACACACACACACACACCCCACGTGTCTCAAAAAGAAATCACCCACACCCGAGGAATCTGTGCCTGGCTAGTGGGCTCTGGCGTTCATTCTGAACAGCTCCCAAGACTGGCTCCCGATGGAATCCAAAGGGATTCCTGGATCCCACAGAGAGAGAGGTGGCCATGAGCCAGTGGGTAAAGGAAATCCAGTCCTCCGGCCCTCCTCAGCGCAGAGACGAAACTGAGCTGCCGAGGCCCTCTGCCGTCGCCCAGTCCCGGGAAAGAAGACCCGGCCTCTTGGGCAGGCAGCCAGGCAGGCAGGAGCCCTCCTCTGGGGTGGGGCAGGGGAGGTCAGAGGTGAGAGCCGGCATCAGCCCTGAGGTCACAGAGAGGCCCCCCTCCTCCTCCTGCCCCACACCCTCCCCCGGGGGCAGGCTGCCCCCATGGTGCCCTGGGCCACTCTGGCCCTGGTGGCCCTGAACGGGGCCCTCTTCTGGCACCCGATCCGGACCCCCGGAGGCTCCTGCCTGAGCGTGCAGACCGTGTGGGAGCGGGGCCAGTGGCACCGGCTGCTCCTGGCACCTTTCCACCACCTGAGCACGGGCCACCTGCTGATGAACATGGCCACCCTCGTCTGGCTGGGCTGGCGGATGGAGCAGGAGGTGGGCAGCCTACGGACGGGCACCGTTCTGCTCCTCCTGGCGCTGCTGGGTGGGCTGCTGCACCTGGTGCTCAACGCCACGCTGGCCGCGGTCACCGGGCAACAGTGGTACTGGGAACACTGCGCCGTGGGATTCTCAGGTGCGGTTCGTCCTGGCCTGGCGCCTCTCTCTCTCTCCACGCCCCCTCACGTGGAGAGCGGAGGCCGAACCGTCTGCGAGGGGTGCCAGCCTCCAGGTGGGGCCTGCCAGCTGATCGCCAGATGAGAGCGATCGGCTCCCCGGGAAACACGGCCGCTTTGCAGCGTGCGCTCGATGGGATTGGGGTCCTCCTGCCCAGACTCCACCCTCCCCAGGCAGCCACACCCCCAGATCTCCAGGAACACCTCTGCCTGGAGCTGGCCACCCCCCCAGGCCTCCACGCCCACCTCCCCTGCTGCTCGTGCTAGCCCCGCCTCCCTCTGGTCCCGCACGCAGGGGTCCTCTTCTCGCTGGAAGCCATGGGCCGGCAGGTGGAGCCCTTCCCAGTGGCCACGCTGGCCAGCGGCGTCGCCTTGACGACCAGGTGGCTGTGCATCCTGGAATGCCTCCTGCTTGCCGTCATCCACCCCAGGTAGGCCCGGCCCAAGTTGGGAAACTCCTGCCCTTTTGAGGAAACCAGAACTGGGATGCAGTCTGGACCTGCTCAGAGGCAGGTGCTATTCCCAGGACAAAGGCCTGGCCCACGCCTCCCCTGGGCCCTTTGTTGTGGGGGGGGGGAGGGGTGTGCGTGGGACATCCTAAAGGCAAGCGAGCAATGCCAGAGGGGAGCTGCTGATGCCCGTGTCTCTCTCCCCCTTTTCTTACAGGAGCTCCGTCACTGGCCACGTCTCCGGGATCCTGGCTGGGCTTGCGTTCTCCGCCTCCCCTTTGCGCCTGGGCGACAGCAGCGCCAACTGACCCACGTGGACAACACGTCTTGCAATACAGTGTCCCCCCACCCACCCTTTCCACGTCTGATTCTGAGGTCTCAGCAAGGGGTGGAGTGGGAACCCTACATGTCAGGGCCAAGCAGGGTTGGGGCGTGGCGTGGAGGGAAAGCACGTGTGGATGTACGTCAGCCTTTCAGAAGGAAGGGAGGCTGCATTGCAGGTCTTGCCGAAACCAGGTAGCCCAAGCATGTGCGCTGTGCAGGGACTTCTCCTCCCTTTCCTCCCGGGGCTTTCTGTGGTCCCTGCTAAGCCACCACAAGGACGGCAGGGCTGCAGGACGGAAACATCTCTGCACGGGGAGAAACCCCGTTGCTGTGACGGGGCTGAGCTAGGGAGGGGCCCTCCAACCAGGATCTGGGGGTTGAGGGCTGCCAGTTCAAGTGTGGGAAAAGCCTGGAGGCTTTTTTTGGGGGGAGGGGGGGTTTGCCTGGGGAAAGCGAGTTTGGGGAGGAAGTTTAGCGGAGATGCGATACCACTCCAGGACCTCATTTTCTCCTAGGCTGCCTGGTATTCCCAGAGTCTGCACTTTTCCTCAATGGAAACCAATCTCTGTAGTCCGGAAATGCTCACGAAAGCTGATCCCCAGAATTGAACCTTCCTGGTCTTAAAGGTACCACTGGATAAAAACTGGAATTCCAGAATTCCAGGTTCCACCTGGAGGCTGGCAATGGGAGGGGGTCTCTGAGTAGGCCACAAAGGGCTAGCCTGAAGATAAGACCCCCCCCTCCTGGGCACACAAAAGGCCCCTGGGAAAGGGGGCTGGGATGGAGCAGTTCAGGGGGTGGGCCTGCAAGTCGCAGGATGTTGGCTCTCCCCTCGGAAAGATTTCTGGCCACTGTGTGACACAGAGTGTTGGGCTGGATGGGCCTTTGGCTTGATCCAACATTGGCGTCTCTTATGTTCTTAACCCAAGAGAAGCAGAGGGAGGCATCCCATACGCACGGGGTGGTGGTGGTGCAGGGAGCAAGGTTTGGGGAAGCACAGCAGCCACACCTTCTGCCAGGTGAGCAATGCAGGCACAGGGAGCTTTCTGGGCACTGAGGCAGACAAGGGCTTCCCACGCCAACCTTTCCACGGGCAGTCCTCTGCACCCCAGCCTTTCTCCCTTGGGGGAGCCTCAGCGGACACCAAACTGGACACCTTTTAAACAGGAGCAGGCAGCCAAGCTGTTCCCCCCCCCCCCCCCCCCCCCCCCCCTTGCGTGCACCCACCACCGCCTCCGCAT